TGCCAGCTCTAAGGGCAGCCTGCTGGGGGGCGGGGCTTTGTGCAGGAGAGCCGCCCACAGCCCTGGCCAGATAGCCTGGCTGCTGCAGGCTCTGGCGGGGCTCCATCTGGCCCCGAGACAGAACGGGTGGACCAGCCGCACACAGCCAGGGATAATGGGCCTGGCCTGGTTTTCCAGGAGGCAGGGAGGGACGGAGGGAGGGAGGGAGGGGAGAGAGGGGGGGAGGGAGGGAGGGGGGAGCACAGAGGGGTCCCATCCTCTGTGGCAGTGACCACACGGAGCAAGGCAGAGCCTGGCACCTCCCCCGGGCAGGCGGGCGGGCGGGCGGGCGGGCGGCATCTGCAAGCGAGGAAAGCCACGTCCTCATTCTGGGTCACCGGCTTTGGGGAGGGAGGGACGAGCTACGGAAGAGCTGGCCGGCTCCCGGAGCCGAGCTATTATTACACATTCATCTCCCCAAGTCCAGCCCGGGCTCCAGAGATTTAAAAAAAAAAAAAAAAAGTGGGGCAGGAGGGGAGAAGGAGAACTCTCTGGAAGGTTCTAGAATGAGCTTCTAGAAGGTTTATGCAGGTCCTTCCAGATGAACCTTGTCCCACCATGCAGCCTAGGGGCAACTTTCTTCCTCTGGGGGCGTATCTCCCAAGTCTCCGATTCCAGGTCCTTCCTTCCAGGCCGGACACAGTACCTGGAGGCAGAAGCAGGAGGACCAGGAATCTGAGGCCCTGTCTCAGAGAGAACCCCCAAAGGCTGGGCCTGGAGCTCACGGGGAGGGGGGGGGGCACTGGCCTAGGATGTGTGGCCTAGGATCTGCGGGGGGAGGGGGCGCGGCGCACACTGGGTCTCTGTCTAGCAACACACACAAACACACACATGCACACGCGCACGCATGCACATTCACACCCATACGTCCTAAGACTCCCAGGTGAGGGAGGCCCCCACCTTTCTGGGGTTCTTTTCCACAGCCCCCCAACCCCCACAACCTTTTTTTCTCTCCACCTCTTTCCTCATTTGTCTACAATCATGGCCGCTCTTTAGAACCTGCAATGCTACTGCCCGGACCTGCGAAACCCTCATCGCTAGGGGAAGAACTAAAACCACGGAACTGAGAACGCCCCCCCGGAGACAACCCCCTGCCGTCTCCCCGTCTCCCGGCTGCTCCCCGCGCCCATGACCCCGGCAGGCACCCAGCCCCGAGGGACTACAGGAGAGCCAAGCGCCGGCGCTCACACCTGTCATCCCAGCTGCTCAGGAGGCTGAGATGTGAGGCTCGTGGTTGGAGGCCAGGTCCAGCCAGGAAATTCCCATGAGACTCTTCTCTCCAAATGAACCACCAAATACCTGAAAGGAGAGCTAAGGATCAAGTGGTCAGAGCCATGAGCAAAAATAACCCCAAAACAGCTCAGCGATGAGGTCCGGGCCCAAAAGTCCATCCATCCATCCATCCATCAATCAAAGACTGCTTGAAAAGCCACCGAAGTCAAAGGCACGTGGAAAAAGTTCTCTAACACGGAACCCACGTGCAAAACGGGACAAAGCCCAGGAAATGTTCACTTTGAATTGGAGGCACATCAGCGTGCTGTTCCGGGCTCTCTCTGTGAGCTATTCAGCGCGTTTTGTTTTGCTGACGCTTTAAGGCAAAGGTAATGACGGAGCCGGGCGCAGTGTGGTTCTGTCGCCACCCGGCAAGGGGAGGGGGCCACTGTCCCCAGCTCCCCAGCGAGCCCCGCTGCCGGCTCTGCTCCCTTCCTCTGGGGACCCCCGCTCTGTTCTTTACAAGGTCTTCAAGGTGACTAGATGAAGAACTCGCTAGTGGCCCAGCGCGCGCGCGCATGTGCGTGTGCGTGTGTGTGTGTGTGTGTGTGTGTGAATGAGTCCTGGGGCTTTGAACCCCGAGCCTTTCTGCCCAAGGCTGGCACTCTACCACTTGGGGCCACAGTACCACTTCTGCTTTATTGGAGACGAGAGTCTCACGGCCTTTCCTGGCCAGCCCTGGCTTTGAACCCATGATCCTCCTGAGTAGCTGGGATGACAGGTGTGAGCCACGGGCCCCCCCAGAGTGTCTTGGGACCTCCTGCCCCCCAACCTGTGAGTGAGCTGGGTCTGGAGGAGGTGCCCAGAAAGTTACTACGCGAATCACCCCTAGGAAAATCATCTGCTAATAACAGCCTCGCGATCAAGAGCGGACACTGAGTGGACGGTGGGGGCAGCGTGCAAACGGCCCCGTGCAGCGAGCGAGCATGCGTGCTGCGCGTGAGCCGCCTGGCCCTGTGGGCGCGTGGCGGGTGGGTGCCTGCCCCCCCAAGGGTAACTAAGCAGTGCGAACCCCGTCTCTCTGCACCCAGCTGGCTGCTGAGCAGCCCTCCCCCTCCCCCAGGGCCAGCACCCCTGGGCTCCAAGATGGGGACCCACCGCGGGGATCCCCCATTCCCATCCTCCAGCCTCTGGGAGCACACCCCCTGACCTGGGGGGGCCGGGGGCCTCATTCACAGCTCCAAGCTGGCACCCGGTGGGAATGGAAATATAGCTGGCTCTCCACGCCTCCCCCCTCCCCCCCATTCTAAGGGGAACGGAGTCTGTGCCTGGGGAGAAGCCAAACAAAGCCAAAGACTTCCACAGAGGAGCGGAGGAGACACCCCCACCCCGTTCTCATAGCAACATGATCACGCTGGCACGGCAGCAGCCTATTTCGGTGGGAGCCGGGGAGCAAGTGCTTACTCACAGCCGAGATGCTCAGGCAGGGGGTGTGCGGGGTGTGCGCGGGGCGTGCGGGGGGTGTGCGGGGTGTGGGGGGGGCGTGGGCAGCGAGGGCCTGCAGGTCAGGGGTCCCGGGGGCCGCGTGCGTGCATGCATGCCTGTGTGCACACGTGTGTGTCTCAGATGCTCCCTGGCATGCTGCACCCCCCTATACACACACAAATGTCCACCTGTCTCTGATGGGCAAGGGTTCTGAGCTGCAAACTGTGAAGGGCGAATCAGTGTCTTCTGTGTGTGTGTGCGCACGCGCGTGCGTGTGCGTGTGTGTGCATGTGTGGAGAATTGTCGCGGCCCTCCGGCTTTTCTTCACCTGTCGCGCTACGGAGGTTTGGGGTCTTCTTTGGCTGCTGGTTTTCTTTTTAAGTTGGGGAGAGCAGGTGTCTCTCACCCATCTTTTATCTCCCAGCAGATGCTTAGAGAAGGAGGGGCCCGTGTGTGTGTGTGTGTGTGTGTGTGTGTGTGTGTGTAAAAGGCACCTCCTGCATTCACCCCTGGTTTGATCTCTGACCCCAGGGGGTTCTGAAGGATGGAACCCCAAAACTCTAACCCAGACGCCCTGTAAATGTGAGGAAGGAGGTCAGGTCATGCTTTTCCTTTGAATTTACCTCTCCCCAACACATGCACAGACACACACATACACACATAACGCACACATACACATGCACACACACACGCACACACACACACACGAACACACACATATACAACACAATACATACATGCACACACATGCATGCACACATGCAACACACACATACATGCACCCGCACATGCACACATGCACAAATATGCACATACACACATGCACAATACACATGCACACTCAAGGCATGCACACAGGTGCACATACACACATGCACACATGCACATGCACATGCACACACAGGCATGCACACACGCAACACACACATACACACATGCACACACATGCATACATGCACAAACATGCACATACACACATGCACAATACACATGCACACTCAAGGCATGCACACAGGTGCACATACACACATACACAATGCACACATGCACATGCACACATGCACATGCACACACAGGCATGCGCACAGGTGCATATGCATGCGCACAGGTGCATATGCATGCACACACGCACATGCACATGCACAGGCATGCACACAGGTGCACACACATGCACATGCACACACACGTGCAAACACACACACATGCACACGCACACACATGCACACACACACATGTACATGCAAGGCACACACAGGTGCACACACGTACACACGCGCACACACATGCACATGCACACGCACACGCACGCACACACACATGCACACGCAAGGCACGCACACAGGTGCACACGCACAGGTGCGCCCACTCCAGCCCTGAACCAGGTTTCTTTCATGCTCCTCCCCTCCTCCCCTCCCCTCGCCCCTCCGCACCCAGGCCTGGCCCTCTTCCCTGGGGGCGTCTCTGGCCCTCCTGGCCCGTGGCTGTGGTTAGATGAGGACGCAGGGCCGCAGGGGGGGGGGGTGACGGGGACCCCCCTCCGTGTCCTGGCAGCTGGAGCCCCGCTCGGTGGGGGGCAGGCGGGGGGGAGGGTCGTTCTCGCTCTGCCCATCCGCGCGGGACCCACGGTGCGGGGCGGGGGGAGGGGGCGGCCGGGGACCCCGCGGCCCGCGCGCCTGTGAACCTCCTCCTGCCCCCACCCCGCCGAGGGGGGAGGAGAGAGAGAGAGGGAGAGAGAGAGAGAGAGAAAGAGAGAGAGAGAGGCGCACGGGGAGGGAGAGAGGGAGGCGCACAGGGAGCGATCGGAAGAAGTTGACCGAGAGCGAGACACGGGGAGACAGACAGACAGAGCGAGACAGACAGACAGACAGACACAGACCGACAGACACACCGACCGACCGTCCAGCCGGCCGAGCGCGCGCCCGGCCCGGACCTCGCGGGCCGCGGGCCCCGCCGCCTCCGCCCCGGGGCGCTCGGGGGTGGGGGCGTCGCCGGGCGCGGGGCGCGGGCGCGGGGCGCGGGGCGCGGGCGCGGGCCGGCGCCGGAAGAGCCCGGGCGGAGCGGGGCCGGGCGCGGGGCCGGCGGCGGGCGCGCGGGGCCCGGCCGCGTGTCCGGGCGGCGCTCGGCGGCGCAGGGCCGGCGGTTCGGTCCCGGCTCCCCGCGCCCGCGCCCGCGCCCCGCGCCCCGCGCCCCGCGCCCGCCCCAGCCGCCGGCCCGCGCCGGCCCCTCCGTCGCTGCCCGCGCCCGCCCGCTCCCCGCCGGCTCCTATGGGCATGAGGCACTCGTCCCGCTGCCTGCTGCTGCGGAGGAAGATGGCGGAGAACGCGGCGGACGGCGCCGAGGTAAGCGGCCCGGGCCGGGGGCCCCGCGGGGTCCCCAACACCGCCGCGCGCGCCCCGGAGACCCCGGCGACTCCCCGGGAGCCCCCCGCGCCCCCCGCGCCCCCCGCGCCCCCCGCGCCCGCGTGCCACCCGCCGCGCGCCCCGGGACCCCGCGCGCGCCGCCGCCGCCAAACTTTCCCCGGCTCCGCGGCGCGCGCGGGGCTGCGGGGCTGCGAGGTGCGGGGTGCGGGGTGCCGGGTGCGGGGTGCGGAGAGCGGGGGCGCGGGGCTGCGGGGGTGCCGGGTGCGAGGTGCCGGATGCGGGGTGCGGAGAGCGGGGCGCGGGGTGCGGGGTGCGGGGTGCCGGGTGCCGGGTGCGGGTGCGGGGTGCCGGGTGCCGGGTGCGGGGTGCGGGGTGCTGGGTGCGGGGTGCGGGGTGCCGGGTGCGGGGTGCCGGGTGCGGGGTGCCGGCTGTGGGGTGCCGGGTGCGGGGTGCTGGGTGCGGGGTGCCGGGTGCGGGGTGCGGGGTGCCGGGTGCCGGGTGCGGGGTGCCGGGTGCCGGGTGCGGGGTGCGGGGTGCCGGCTGTGGGGTGCGGGGTGCGGGGTGTGGGGCTGCGGGGTGCCGGGTGCCGGGTGCGGGGTGCCGGGTGCGGGGCTGCGGGGTGCCGGGTGCGAGGTGCCGGATGCGGGGTCCCCCCACCCCGAGAGCGCCGGGCCGCGCTCGCTCGGACGCCCCGCCCTCCCCGGCCCCCTCCCCTGCCCCCCCCCACCCGCACCCCGCGCGGCGCTCCCGCCGGGGACCCCGAGCTGGTGCTGGGCCGGGGCGGGCGGGGAGGGGCGTCCGGGGTCCGGGTTGGGGTCCGGGGCCGGGGCCGGGTCGGGGTCACCCCTGCCGCCCGTGACCTTGCACTCCGCCCCCCTCCGCGTCCCGGCCCGCGAGTCCCCCGCGGTCGGCCGGGTCGGCGAGGACAGGCTGCATGGGGGGGGGGGCCCCCCCCGCGGCGCGGGTTCAGCACCGGGGACAGCGCCGGCCGAGCTGCGGCTGCGCGGGGGCCGGGGCCGGGCGCGGGGGGCCGGGGATGGGGGGCCGGGCGCGGGGGGCCGGGGATGGGGGGCCGGGGATGGGGGGCCGGGGATGGGGGCCCGGGGATGGGGGGCCGGGGCGCGGGGGGGCCAGGGCGCGGGGGGCCGAGGATGGGGGGCTGGGGCGCGGGGGGGCCGGGGCGCGGGGGGCCGGGGATGGGGGGCCGGGGATGGGGGGCCGGAGCGCGGGGGGCCGGGGATGGGGGGCCGGGCGCGGGGGGCCGGGGCGCGGGGGGCCGGGGATGGGGGGCCGGGGATGGGGGGCCGGGGACGGGGGGCCGGGGATGCGGGGCCGGGGCGCGGGGGACCCGGGATGGGGGGCCGGGGCCGGGGATGGGGGTGGGGGGCCGGGGGGTGACCGGGGCGGCCGGTCCCCCCACTGTCCTGTCCCTGTCCCTGCCCCTGTCCCTGTCCCTGTCCCCTGTCCCTCAGCCTTCCCGGGAGGTGCAACCCCCTTCCTGACCCTCTGACCCCCGAGGTCATGCCCCGCCCCCCCCCCACAGCGGACCCTGACCCCCAAACTTTTCCCACCCCAACCCCCTCCCCTCGCTTTCCAGGACGGGGAGCGGCGCCTGGCATCTGTGGGTTTCCTCCAGGGATGGTGCCCGCCCCCAGCCCCCTCCGCCCCCACCCGGGGGTGGGCACAGGGGGGGCGTCCAGGGTGAGGGGGGAAAGGGGGGGCTGTGAATCCTGGGGGTGCCCGGGGCGCCTCTGGGGGCGCCGATGACATGGGGCCGGGAGCCCCAGGAGAGCCGTGCTTCCCGGGGTGCAGGGTGCGTACAAGGGGGGTGTCAGGGCATCTCAGGGTGTGTCTGGTGGGGAGAAGGCCTTCACCCTTTATTCCGGGGTCTCCATCCAGGAGTCGTGAAGTTCCATTCCGGCCTGAGCCACCAGGACGCCCCAGCCTGGGGACTCCCGCGGCAGCCCTGGGCCTTGAACTCAGGGCCCTGGACACAGCTCTACCACGTTGAGCCACAGCGCCACTTCTGGTTTTCTGGGGGTTCTCGGGAGATCAGAGTCTCAGGGACTTTCCTTCCCTGGGCTGGCTTTGAACCGCGATCCTCAGACCTCCGCCCCCTGAGTGTCTGGGATGACGGCAGCACCAGGCTCCGGCTCTGGATTCCTCGTTCTTGGCCCCAGCTGCTATTTCTAGCGGGGAGCGAGCGTGCTCGTGTGAATGGGAGTGGAGGGCCGTGGGAGGAGAGCAGAAGCAGCACTTGGGCAGGTGGAGCTGCCGGGGAGGGGGGCGGCGGGGAGGGGGGGAGGCCGGGGGGGGGGGGGGAGGCCAGGAGGGAGGCCGGGAGGGCTGGGAAGTTCTGGGAAAGACGATTCCAGTCTCCGCGCGGGAGTGAGCACACAGGGGGTGTGCAGGCACCCCCAGACCCGGAGCAGGGCAGCCACCAGGGCCCCACACAGCTCTCGGGGTCCCCCCCCTCCACATCAGCCTCCGCTTTCTCAGCCTTCTGGGGAAGGGACAGGGGTGGGGAGGGGGAGGCTTGTGCCCTGTCATCCATTAGCGTCCACCCTCAGGGCCCACGGTGGACCCGTGGCCTCAGAGGTTGAGCCTGTGCAAGCTAGCTTGTGTGTGTGTGTGTGTGCGTGTGCATGTGTGTGTGTGCATGTGTGTGTGTGTCCTGGGGGCTTGAATCAGGGCCAAGGCCAGACCTCTGACCCCCTGAGCCACACCTGCACTTCTGGCTTTTTTTTTTTTCTGAGGGAACTGTCTCTCGGACTTTTCTTACCCAGGCTGGCCTCCCAGCCCAGTCCTCCCACCTCAGCCTCCTGAGTGGCAGGGGTGGCAGGTGTCTCCGGGGCCTTTCGAGAGCACCGCAGCGGCTTCCCTCCGTCCAAGCACAGGACGAATTTCCCTAGCATGCTCGGTCCTGGCTGACTAACTCACAGCCATTCTGTAGACTCCTCTGGGGGGGGGGAACCCCCAAAATAGAAAACAACCACCATAAAACCTTCCACTTAGTTTATCCCCAAGTGCTCTCCCCACCTCGGCCTCTCCTTATCTGGAGGGGAGGGAGTGAGATTCAACTCTTTTCTCTGGAGCCTTTCCACCCCGCCATTTACCCCCTCTCCGGGAGCCTTCGGTCCTCCTGCATTTCTAATGCTTTGCTTTTCCCTTTGCAGCGTAATTGGCCTTTTTATGTGTCCGTCTCTCCAGTTAGATCATCAACTCTTTTTTTTTTTCTCTTGTGTTGCATTCTCTGTCCTTACACCGCGTCTGACACACACTAAATAATACCCTTGGGCCGGGCACCACTGGCTCACACCTATAATCCCAGCGACTCAGGAGGCTGAGATCTGAGGATCGTGGTTCAAAGCCAGCCTGGACAGGAAAGTCCATGAGACTCTGATCTCCAAGGAACCACCAGAAAACCAGAAGTGGCGCTGTGGCTCAAGTGGTAGAGCGCCAGCCTTGAGCTGAAGAGCTGGGGGACAGCGCCCAGGCCCAGAGTTCAACCCCCACGACCACCACCACCACCAATAATAATACACTTGGGCTGAACTGATTCGTGTCATGAACAGCAGGTCTCTGACCCCCGAAGTTTGGGATTCCTCTTCCCTTGCTTCTCTGCTGTAGACAAGTTATAGAGATTCTCAGAATTGAGGTGCTGTGGCTGGTCAAAGCCTGGCTGCATTTTGGGGACCCCAAAAGGCCTATCTGACCTTCTGGGCTTACACACTCTTAACTACTTTTATTTGGGGGGGGGGGGCGGGTGTTCATCTGAGTAGCAGATGAAGGGGTTCATCTCGGGGCCTGCTTACTAGCCGTGAGGGACGATGCGCAGTCGTCTGCGTTTGGGTTCTTGGTGAAAGCTTGCTGCATTATTAATGATGGCTATGAGTCTCTAACTGGGCCTTCAGCACCTCCACGTAGAGACCCCCTCCTTGCCCCCGGGGGGGAGCAACGGCTGGAGCAGAGTCATGCGGAAAGCCGGGTACCCGGTAGCTCACGCCTGTAATCCCAGCAACTCCGGAGGCTGTACGATCTGGAGGATCAAAGTTCAAAGCCAGTATGGGCAGGAAAGTCTAGGGGTAGGGGGCAGAGGAGGGGGGACGGGGAGACTCTTCTCTCCAATGAACCGACAAAAAGCCAGACGTGGGGCTGTGGCTCAAGTGGTAGAGCGCCAGCCTCGGGGAGAGCGTCCAGGCCCTGAGTTTCAAGCCCTCATTCCCTGCACACACACACTCACACACACACACACACACACACACACACACACACACACACACACACACACAGAACCGTTCTGAAGACTGCGTCTGTGTTTCTTTTCGAAGCCCACAGGTACCAGGCCAGTCGGTGGGTGGGAGATGCTGACCTGGTGGCCTGGCCCACCAGTGTTAGGATGAAGGCTGGACCGGCCTGTGTGCGTGCGTGTGTGCGGCCTGCGTGCGTGTGTGCGCGCAGGGATTAAGGTACTGCCGTGTTGGTGGCGATCGCACGCTATAATTGCTTATCAAGCTAGACAGAATTAAGAAGATGCGTGCGTGTGTGTGTGTGTGTGTGTGTGTGTGTGTGTGTGTGTGTGTGTGTGTGTGTTTCTTGGCAAATGTGGCCTAGTGGAGAGCCCTGCACTGGCTTCTGGCTGCCATGTACAGCCTCCTGCCTGCAGTGCGGGTCTGAGATTTCCTCCGCTCCCTTCTCCTCCTGATCCATACCACGTGCACGGTTCTCCCGTGGAACAGGCAAAACTCTGGTGGTGGTGGTGGTGGAGGTTCTATAAAGAAAACACCACCGTGACTTACACATTGCACTGGACTGTGCCAGCTGGGGGGGTTGGGCAGCATGGCACACACAGACAGCCAAGGAGCTGCCAATGGCTCCGGCGTGTGGGGGACACGGATGTTGGAGGGGGGGGGGCGGTGTCAGAGGATGGAAGGAAGCAAGCCAGACAAGCAGAAGAACTGCCCAAAGAGCCTTCTGTC